CTGAAGGCTGGCCACGTGCTTTCCGGGGCCGACAACCTGCCGAGCGGCCTGGCCGATGCAGCTGCTGCGGGGACCCTGCCCCGCCCCTACTGCTACGAGATCAGCCTCACCACGGGCTCGGGCAACAGCGAGTTCAGGTTCCTCAAGCCCTTCGTCCCCAGCCTGCCACCACAGCCCTGTGTCATGGGCGGGGACACCGGTGAGGAACAGGTTTTCCCTTGTGTCCCTGTCCCCACAGAGGACGTGACCCCAGATAATTCTGGGCCTGTGTCTGCAGAACAGTTCAATCGTCTTTCCTTTAACTAGCACGGAGTCGGCACAGCCAGAGACTTCATGCCTCGTGGTCAGAAGAGATGCACCCTACGGTAATGGTTCTTCTAGAATAAATCTATACTTGCAATTGGTATAAAAAAATTCCCCAAAATTTTAAGTCAAGGAATGCCTGTGTTCCCCTAAATGCAAACAAGTAAACAAGGGAACCAGACCTCTTTCACTTAGACATTCATGTTGCAGGTCTGTTAAGGCTGTTCCTTAGAGACTTTAAGAATGCAGTTAGCTCTCCCAGCTAAGCTTTTGTCTATCTTGCTATCAGACAAGACCGTGGACCCTTAATTCTGTTCTGTAGTAGTGTGGCACAGACAAAGGGACAGACAAACTTCATCCTTGCTGAAATGCACAAAGACCTTTTTCCAGCTCAGGAAAATGAAGCAGTTGTCACTGCAGAGTCACAAAGACATGTGAATACGGGTCTCTTCCTTTCCTGGGTGCCAGATGTGTTTTGGCTGAGATGTCTGGGCCCTGTGTCCTTTCCTTTCTTGTCACCACGTCTGTCGATTCCTAACTAGGGCTGCCAGGTGAATTAGGCAGTTGCTTCCATTCAGCCATTGCAATGCAGCCAATTCCAGCTCAGCAGGCAAGGAGGGTCTCTTGACTCTGAGCACCACAACGGTCACATCTTCTCCAGGGCAGGGCAGGGTAGGGCAGGGCAGGGCAGGAAAATGCAAAATAAGATCTTCCTTTGGACAATAAGAGTGGGTTGGGTGTTCTGTCTCCTTCCAGTGCAGCAGCACAAAAAGTGTTTGCTTAGACTGTAACTGTACCGGGTTGTGAAAGCATGTACATAGCCTTTGGATGCATTGCATGCAAACTCCACATGTCCTTCAAAGAGCATTTTCTAAAGGTAGAATCAAGATGAGCTTATGAAAAGGACTGAGTTCTATCCCCTCATTGTTGTTCCTAAATTCTCAGAATTGAACTGGTAAGCTGTCCCTGCATGATTTTCTGGGTTTGTGTTAGAGCGTTGGTATTCTCCTTTCATCTATAGTAATTGATTCCTTGAATGAGATCTGTGATAAACGGAATATTCAGAAAGCCCCACACTTTGTTGTGCCGAAGTTGTAAACTGCAGCATTGTAAACTGGGATACTCCTGATTGTAAAAACTGAAATTATGTGTAAGACTGAAATAAAGAGAACACCTATATTCCTTGCGTGGAGACAGAAGCCTTTGTAGAGAAGTTCTTTCTGGGAAAGGTGTATCAGTGATTTTCAATGGTATGGGAGTTATTTTGTCAGTGTGCCTTTACTGAGGTAATGTTGACTGGTTATATGTGTTGAGTTTGGAGATGCAGCCGGTAGAGTGTTCAGTGCAATGCCCGAGCTGTTATCGGTCAGAGGCTTTGAACCTTTTGCTCTCTTTGGTGGTTCACTCTTTTCGGGCTCAGAATCTGTATCATACTGTGTTGGGAAACGCCTTGTGCCGCTTTTCCCTCCCAGTTTCTCGAAAGGCGCTGACATGCGTGCCGAGAGCCGAGCGCTCACGGCTTCCCGTGGGCTGTGGACAGCGGAGAGCGTGAACGAAGGTAAGGCAGGTGCCGCAGCTTATCCCTGTGACCGTACACAAGCGGTGTTCCCTCAGGGTACAACTCGACCCTTGCCGGCATATTCATTCCTCGCTTTGAGGTGCGTGCGTCCTTCTCCGGGCGCAACCGAGGGTGATCGGCGGCCCCGCGCGTGTGCGCGCGTGTCCGTGGGCCGGGGCGAGCGGCAGCGCGGGCAGCGGGCGGCGGCGGGCGCAGTCCCAGCGCGCACCGCTGGGTGGTGGTCTCGGCTAAGGCGCCGCCGACACCGACCCAGCGCAGCCCAGCTCAGCACAGCCAAGCCCAGCCCAGCTCCCAACAGCCGAGCCGGGTCGAGGGAGCAGCGGCTGCGCCACCGAGACCCGTTCTCTGCCGTCCGCTCCGGGGACAGAGCGGCCGCACTCCGGATTGCCGACCAGACCGGAATACAGAGGGAGAAGGAAGGCACCCGGACGCCGCCGCTTTCGGAGGGGATTACGCCAGAGATCGGCGACAAGGAGACAGGGCTCTGCCGCCGCCGCAGCCGCCACCGCCGCAGCCGGAGGGCCATGGCGATCGCAAGGCAAGTGCTTTGTGTGTGTGCGTTGCTCTCCCTGCCGCTCGCTCGCTCGCAGCCCATCCGCTACTCCGTAGCCGAGGAGGCGCACAGCGGCTCCCTGGTAGGCAACCTGGCGCAGGACGCGGCGCTGCCGCCGGCGCAGCTCTCGGCTCGCCGCGCCCGCCTG